GCATCTAAGCCACCTCCCACTGTAGCATGTCTCCCGCCTGTCACCTCTTTCGCTTTGCTAGCCCAGCCCTAAGACGCTTTGTGAGGGCCTACAGGGTCTTCTGTGGTTGGGCTGCCCTGTACTTTCTCTGAAATCAATCCTCAGTTTCAACCCTCTCCAGCCACCTGGTCCTCCTTACTGTTCCCCAAACACACCAGCCAAGTTCTACCTCAGGGCCTTTGTATATACTGGTGGAAGGTTCTTTCCTCAGTTATCTGCATGGCTTGCTCCCTTATTTGGCTTCAGTGCTACCATATCAGCGAGGCCTTCAATGACCACCCCGTCTACAGTAGCCCCCTCCTTACTATCAGACTCTTTTACCTGGCTTTATTTTTCTCTAAGCATCTCTCACAATTGGAATATTGTCTGTGTATCTGTTAGTTTGTTGTGTGTCTCTTCACAATAGAATGCCAGCCTCCTATGGGCAGGGACTTACCAGCTTTGCTCACTATTGTATCCCCAACACCTAAAACGATTTAGCCCACATTAGCCCTTTTTGTTCCACAAACAGATGGATAGATGAGTGAGCAAATGAGCAAGCTGGGAATGAAGTTTATAGGTGAAGAAAGATTTCAGGGTTCAGGCCTGTTCTGCTGGCTCAGAGGTGTTTGTGTGCCTGTCAGACCTCATTTCATTCTAAGGCTTGGAAAGCACAGCCCTTACAGGGTGCTGATCCCAACATACTGGAAGGAGCAATGCAGTCCCTCAGCTGGGTTTTAAACTCCAACTCTGCTGCAAGGTCACACTACCTGTGTAACCTTGAGGAAGTTGTGCAACTTTCCCAATTTCCTCACCTATAACATGAACATAATAAACCCTGACCTTGGAGGTTGGACTGTATGGACAAAATGAGATCTCAAATGTAAAAGTGCCTGGGGGCCGGCCGAGTAGTTCAGTTGGTTAAGGGCTTGCTCAAGAGTGCAAGCTTTGAGCAACAGGATCACCGGTTTGATTCGCACATGGACCAGTGAGCTGTGCCCAAGCTGAGCTGCCAGCAGTTGGCAGGATGGCTCAGCTGGTGAGAGCATGTGCTCCTAACAACAAGGTTGCCTGTTTGAGATGGTGGCTACGCCCACCTGCAACTAATTGAGCTGAGCTGTGCAACTGGACTTGGAGTTGAGCTAGCTGCGCCTCCACAACTAAGATTGAAGGACAACTTGGCTGTTCCCCTCCCCCAATTCCCCAATAAAATCTTTTTTTTTTTTAAAGTAAAAGTGCCTTGTATAAGCAGACCTTGCATGTGGGGTGTGTGGGGGTCCCTCTTCCTCTCTCTTCTTCCCCCTCAGAGCTGTCAGCTTTAGGGCAGAACGGAGTGGGGAGGAAACAGCAGGGAAATAGCGCAGACTAGGAACTGTAAAGCTGAGAAGAGACAGGTAGGGAAATCTGAATTTGGCAGACCAAAGTCCCAGGCCTGGGGCAGAGGGTGTAGAGGTGTGTGGGTCAGAGACTAAAGACCCCTACACATATGGGAGGCCTGGCCCACAGTGACCGTGCACCAACATTCCCTGTTGCCCTGGAACTCAGTAAATGCTGGTGGAATGGGTCTTTTTGGAATTCATGAGTGTGTCAGAGTTTGTGGAGTACCCACTGTATGCTGGGCTTTGTACTAGATCTTGGGGATCTAAAGGTGAATAAACACTGTCCTGGCCAATCCTTCCAGCAGGGCACAGGGTCCAGGCAGTCTGAGGGGACGCCTAGGCATGCTTGCCTCCAGGTGGAGGGCTGCCCAAGCTCTTGGGTACCCCTGAGACCTGCTTCCAAGAAGTACTGGCTGATTCAAAACTAGATGGAGAGTCCTCTGGGCTCTCCTGCCTGGCTCCACTCTGGAAGGACAGAGGCTGGGAGGCTGGCTTCCTGGGGAGAGGATCCTGGCTGGCCAAGAGCTGGTGGAGGCAGCCCAAAACATCGGTGGTGTCAGCCTGCCACCTGGTGGTGAGTCTGGTGTAATGCAGGGGTTGGGGCCTGGCGCCAGAGCAGGGGGATGGGGCCATCTGACTTACTTCCTGGGTCTCAGAGCTGGAGGCATCTGGGCTACTCTTCTCCTTCTCCTCACAACAGCGCCCAGGCGCCCTCCCCAAACAAAGGTCCACCTCTGCTCTCCCGAGGGCAGGGCTAGAGAAGAGGGAGGTGATTTGGCCCAGGTGTCCCACGTGTGAGGGAGGAAGGGGGCTTGGAGAGGATAGTGACAGCGGTGAGGGGGGACGCCTCAGTGAGCTGAGGAGAGGCCTCCAGAAATGGCCACTTCACTCCAAAGGCTGAGAATAAGGGGTTGAAAGGCTCTTTGTGGGTCTCTGCCCGCCTTTCCTGGCCTCCCCCATGATCAGAGTCGCCTCCCCCACCTATCGCTGGGCTCAGTATTAGGTGGGCTTGGCTGAGGAGGTCAGGACACTTTCAGGGCCCGAAGTGTCTTTAATCCTGCATGGGGGAGACCCTCTGCTTCCTGAGAGGTTGTGTGAGGCAGAAGTCCCCTAGAGCAGTGCTTCTCAAAACTTGAGCTTGCACAGAAACCCCTGGGGACCCTGGTGAAATGCAGACACTAATACAGCCGATCTGCGCTGAGTCTGCTCCAGGGTGGTGCTCACACTACAAGGACTGACTACCCTCGGAGTCTCGAGGCCCTAGTAGCCCCTCCAAAAGACACTGGTCCCCTGCCCCTCAGGAGGCCACCCTCCCAGCCCCGCCCACCCGGCCCCATCCCACTCTTACCAATGGTGGTGATGGTGGACACGGAAAAGAAGAAGGAACCTATGAGCTCCCAGCGCCCCATGCTGGTGGTGTTGCCGAGGACGATGTCCCCACTTTGGTACGCTTCAATGATGCCCTGGGGGAGAGGCTGCAGTGAGCACCAGGCTCTGCGGGGTGACTGGGCTCCTGCATGCAAACTCACACACATGAGCATGTGCATGCACACAATACACACAAACAAACTCATGGACAATCCTTGTAACCACTCTCTGAGCCCAGCTTTTCCGGGGCCAGGAAGCTCGTCCCCTTCAACCATGGGGACAGCTCCCACCCTCTCTTTATCCCGGGAGCCCAGGTGACCCCAGGGTATCTCACTGGCTGGAAAAACACTATTCATTTTCTTCTCTGCTCACCCATTCTTGCAACAAGCCCTGGCCAGGCATGATGTGTGGTGTTTTAGGGGACACAAAGATGAAAGAGACATGACTTCAGTCCTCGGTGGGACAGAGACAAACTTAACTCTAGTGCCATCAGTGCAGTTTTAGGCTTTAAGACAGTGCAGCTGCATGATCCTGGGCAAGGCACTCAACTTCTCTGTGCCTCAGTTTCCTTATCTGCAAAATGGGAACACTAATAGCACCTACTTCACTGAGTTGTTGTGAGAGTTAAGTAACATACATAAAGACTTAGAACAGTACCTGGGCCTGGAAAATGTTAGTGGTTGCCGTCATCGTTACTGTTAGGAATGTAATGCCGAGAGAGAAGGTGTTGATACTGATGGGGGTAGGGTCAGAGGCCGCATGGAGGGGGTGATGCTTTAGTTGGGCCTTCCTTAAAGGTCAGATAAGATTGCTCCCTGTGGAAGGGCATTTAGGTAGATGGGAGGCAGGACTGAACCTGGAATCTCAAATAGGGAGACTGAAAGGCCATGCTTGGCTCTGCCACGCCAGGGATGGAGTGGGAGGCCTTTTCCAAGGCCACTGAGCAAAAGAGAACCAAGATCAGGTTGTGTGCTCTGTGGCAGCTGGCAGTGCGGAAGATGTTGGCAGACTAGAAGGGGAAAGACTCCTGCAGGGGTGAGTGATGGAGAGGGCTTGGCTTGCATCCTGGCACAGAGTGGTCCAGGAGGAACACAGAAGAGACATTCAGAAACCCAGGCTTCTGGCCCCATTTGGTGTGGGTAGTGAGGGAAGCACCTAAGACCATTGTGAGCATGTGTGGATATGATGCCAGCGGCAGACGTTTAGAATAGATGGAAGAGGAAGGCTGGGAGGAGGAGGGATGCCTGCTCTTGACCTTGGGGGAATTTGAGGGCTGCTCAGAAGTTGCATGTGCATGTCTGCAGCCAGGGAGCAGGTCTAGGTTGGAGACCCTGTATTGTATTCCTGGGTTTGAAGCCACAGGAGGGCTGAGGGAGGGTGTGAAGGATGTGGAGTAGGAGGGGGTTGGAGGGCAAGTGTATGGAGATTAAAGTCCTGCTGGGAACCGCAGGAAACATCCACAGATCCACGCTGAGGGAGTAGTCATGGTGGTTCACAGCCCAGCAACCTCGCTATGTAGCCATGTATTTGTTTTAAACTCTCTGAGCCTCGGTTTCTTCATTTCTAAAATGGGGATGATGGTAATGGTACCTACCTGTGAGGTAGGTGGGGAAGAAACGAGCTAATACAGGTTAATACACTAGGAACAGTGCTTGACACACAATAGCATTTACTATTATTATCATCCCATCATTGTCATCTTCCCTGGGCCCAGGCTGTTGGTAGTTGAAGTTCACCTCTTTTGCAAAGGGAGTGTCACAACCTCCAGGTCCAGGCAGAGGGCTGTAACTGTAGAAGTTTAGAGGTGGGAGGTGGAGGCACTACATTCGGTCCTTAGTGGCGATGGTCCTTGCCCTGCCCAGCTCCAGGCCCTGCTGAGGCCCCAGTCCAAGGGCTCAGGACTACACCTCTGCTCTGGTGCCCAAGATGCAGGCTCTGCCTTCCTCTGCAGAGGAAGCATCGGGGCTGCCAAGGCAGGGATTGCCGGCTAGGGGCGTGGCTATCCGGGTTCTGGGACCAAGCTTGGGCCGCAGATGTTAACGCACCCGCCAAATCCTAGCAGCTACCAGTCCAGCGTCGCCTGCCCAGGGACGGAGAAGGAGTCTTCCATCCATCCTCGTTGTCCTGCCCCAAGAACCCTCCCTTGTGTTGTCTTCTCTGCACACCTCTCTGGGATCCCATTCTCTGAGCAGTCTCTGTCCTCAGGACCTCTGCATCCTACCGCTCCCTGTCCGTTTCAGCCCTTCCGGGTCTCAGCGGCAGGGGCTGCACGCCCAGCTCCCGCATCCGAAAGCTCGGAATAACGCGGGGAAAGCAAAAGGGCGCCCCTGCGACGCACTTCTTTCTCTCATACCGGGGTCTGTGCACTTGGAGCGTCCAGACTCTGGCACGTGCGCCTCGGCCCCCTTCGACCCACCACCAGGACATGTTCTCCCTGCGCATCTTTACCTCCAGCGGTTCTCAACCTGTGGGTCGAGACCCCTTTGGGGGTCCAACTACCCTTTCACAGGGGTCGCCTAAGACCATCGGAAAAGAAAAAGATATTTACATTACGATTCATAACAGTAGCAGAATTACAGTTATAGAGTAGCAACGAAAATAATTTTATGGTTGGGGGTCACCACAACATGAGGAACTGTATTAAGGGGTCGCGGCATTAGGAAGGTTGAGAACCGCTGCTAGACCCTGACGGTCGTGCATGCTCATCCTTAGGCACCGCCCAGTGACCCCGCCGCCCTCGCCCCAATTCGCATATTTGCATCAGGGGTCTCTCTGTGGAAGGGGCCATGCATGCCCTTTGGAGCCTCGCCCGAGGTCAGACTCCGACATAGCGCCACGCCATCCCAGTTGGACCTCCTCCAGGTCACTTCCCAAGCCCTCTACGCGCGTCCTGCCCCTGTTCTCACGGGACCAGGTTGGCCCTGGCAACTCCTGACCAGGGTAAGCGCGCCCCCTGTCATACACATCCCCAAATTCGGATGTTTGCGCCACGCAACCCTCTGTTGACCCGGCGGTTCATGCCCTCTCGCCCGTAAAGGAGGATTCAGAGCGCTGCAGCGCGCATTCCTCTCGCTGGAGCAGGGACCCTTTCCCTGTTTGTCCAGCTCAACCCTCTCGTCCCCCACCCCGCCGCGCGCGCCCTCCCCGCCCTCCTCTCCCCCCCGTAGTCTCAGCGTCTATCTCCTCTACCTCTCTCTTGGAGAAGTGCTCCCGGCGTTTCCCTGTCCGGAGCCAGGGAGTGCCCTCTTGCGCTCTGACCACCACCCCGCGCTCTCCTACCCCGGATCTCCCCGCCGCGCCCGGGGCCGGCCGCGCTCCCCGCTGACCCTGATCAGCGAATCCAGCGCCGGGCCGTCCAGACAGGTGAAGTTCCGCAGCAGCGCCCACTTGTCGCGCTGGAATCTAGCCCTGGAATCCTTCGCCGCGGGGCTCTCCAGCATCCAGAACACACCGGTGCCCAGTGCCAAGTAAGCCAGGTAGGTGAGTAGCAGGAGCACCGTGCCTGGCACCGCGCAGCGGGGAGCTCTGCACACGGGCGCCCTTCTGGCTCGTGGTCGGCACATAGCAGGACAGGCAGGGAGGCTGAAGCCTGGAGCCATGGACCAGTACCCAGACAGAAAAGGAAGGGCTAGGGCCGGTGGAGGGGCTCAGTTGGTTAAGAGCTCGCTCAAGAGGGTGAGCTCTGAGCAACAGCCATTCGATTCCCGGCCCTAGCTGAGCTGCCAACAGGGCAGGATAGCTCAGCTAAATGGAAAAAAAAAAAAAAAAGAAAAGAAAGAAAAGTAAGGGCTAGGAGCTTGGCTGGTCCCTTCCCTAGACAACAGCTGCCTGTGCCCAGTTTTCTCAGCAGAGGAGGCGTGCTGGACAGCCCTGCCCCACCCGCACTGGATCCAATCCCGGGGACAAAAAAAGGTCCAGAGCTGTGGGCATCTGGCCCCGCCTCGAATGTGTGTGGAGTGCCCACCCCCCAGGCCTAGCCCGGGGAGAAGGGGAGGGCTGCCGTGTGACCGCAGACGCAGAAAAGGAAGGGGCCCAGAGCCCTCAGCTTGTCTTGTAACAAACGGTGGGAGGGACTCCCGGAAAACACACACAGGGGGAAGAGAAAGTGGAAGCCAAGTTTATTGTCTTAGGGCCCCTGCCCAAGTCCTTGGACCCTTGGACTATCGCCAAGGACTTGCTGCCTGTCAAGTCCTCTCATACCATCACCCTTTCCTTTGTGTACCCAAAGACAAAGACCCCAGCTGGTCACCACTTGTCCATGAGCTTGGTAGGCAGAAGAGCCTTGACCAGTGGGTTTGTCCATTCTCTGCTTCTGAAAAGGCCCCCTCACCGCCGACTCTACCCAGAAGGGATGTAGGGTACTGGGAAGGTAAGGCGTCCCTGGGCGTCCTCAGCTTCCCAGGCCTCTCCTCCACATCAGGAAGTCCCAGGAGGTAAGCTGGGTCTGTCCTGCCTTCCCACCTGGCGCCTCCTCTGCTTCACAGCCTTGCCTCAGTCCTGTCCAGAGGTTCCCGGCCGCTGATGGGCCTGCCTTGCTGCTGGGCTGCGGGCAGAGGTGGGGACCCACGTTTGCTGTCCTTGGGATGGACTGCTGTAAATCTGTCCTCTCCTGGCCAGAGCTGTCTCGGTCTGGCAGGAGAAAGGCCAGGGTGGTAGAGCTCGCTCCCAGGGGAGGCGGGACTCCATGGAGCCCATTTCCTGGATGTCTCCTGGGATCCGCTGGCTCTCCATTTTCCCCAGGGCAACATGTGTTTGGAAAGGTTCTTAAGAAGACAGGAGCCGAGGGGGTGATGGGGTCAAGGGGTGCCTGGGGGGACAAGGGGGGCCATGCCCAGGAAAGTGGGTGGGGCACCCAGTACCTCCTAAGCCTTCTTCATAGACAGCTCTAGACCTCGAGGCAAGGGGACCTGGCAGGCCCCTCAGTGTAGCTTCCTGAGGACAGACAGCCTGGTTGCACTACGATGCTCTAAAGTCCCTGCCCTCTCCTTGACGCTCCCTGCCAGCCGTTCCCATGGGCTCTCATCTTACCCTGGTCGGCCCTCATCGCAGCATTTTGGTCACTGGATTGGGGTTGCCTCTCTACCTGGCTAGTCCTTCCACTTGACTAAACACACATGGAGGGCAGGAGTTTTCCTTGTTGTGTCCCAGAACCTGGCACAGTGCCTGACACATAGCAGGGGCCAGACCAATGCACATTGTGAACGCATCCAATGAGGCAAAAATAAAGTCACCCTTTGTTTGTTGTCCCATATGAGTCTTCGGGGAGGGGGATGTGGGAGGGCAATGGGGATTTGGCCACAGTGATCTATGTCTGGTCACTTTTGAGGGGGAGAGGGCAGGGGCTCTGGGACAACGGTGCCCATCTCACTCTACAGGCATCTGTGTTTGATTCTGTCTTTACATCTCCTTTCTTGGACACTCCTGCCTCCTTCCTCTCTCTGGAGAGCTCCTGAGACTAGTCCTGGCGGGGAAATGAGTGGGCTGGGGGAGAGGCAGGGCAGGAAATGCAGAGGGCCTGTGGGCTGGACTGGGGAAGCCAGGAGGGGCTCTTGGGGCTACTGGGGGCCTCACGCAGAGATGGGGATCTTCTGAGGTCTGTGGAGCCCATCGGTCTTGGGGGCTCCCCCTTCCTTGAGGCCAAAGCCCCTGCTTAGCAGCCAGAGCTGGGAGCATCTATGGAGAAGCAGTGGGGCTAACGGGAGGACCAGTGCCAGCCACGCCAGGCCCAGGAGAATCCAGATGGCCGCCAGGCTTCGGTACACTGAGATGTAATGCTTGCTGGGGTCCGTGCCTAGCAGGGAAGAGGGACGTGATAAATGCCAGCGGTCTGAGGGCACAGCCACACCCCGTGTTCCACTGCGTCCCCTCCAACCGCCCTGTAACAAGGATCAGCAATGGAGGTCCCTGGGAAAAGGGCGACGGGTCCCAGACTAGCAGCTTCTGAGGATGTTGTGAGAATCCACAGCAGCTTCAGAAATCGTCTCCTCCAGAAAACCAGGGGCTAAGTGATCCTCAGTAGTCACCCCCTGCTGACACCTCCCCATCCCCCACCCTGAGAAATGTGATTGCCTAGTTCTCACCAACCACATAGTCCCCGAAGCCGATGGTGCTGAGAGTGATGAAGGCAAAGTAGAAACCCTCGCCGAAGCTCCAGCCCTCCACGTGGCTGAAGACCATGGGCGGGAAGACGAGAATGACCAACGTCCCCAGGGTCAGGAACAGAGCCAGGCCCAGGATCTGAAGTAGCTGGAGGGAGGGAGGGAGACTGTCTCTGAGTCCTCTTGGAAGGCCCCAGGATTGTATAGGGGGTGGTTTGGGGCAAATTGGGGAGCGGGGCTGGATCACAGTTAGGTGCTTTCCCCGCCCTGCCGACCTTTGGGGGTGGATCTGTGCCTGCGTGATCTTGCCCAGGTCAGGGAAAGGCTTGGTCATAGGGATTGCATTAGTGGGTCAAATTAGAATTTAGAGATTCCTTTGATCTGGGGGGATCCGCTTGTATAGGTCCCCTGGGGGGACTCAGATCTGGGACGGAGGACTGTCACTGAACTGTACCAAATTCCTCTGCACCTCTGTCCTCCTAGTGAGCCTGGCTTTGCAAGGCACTGGCCAACAACAGGTGGGCTCTGGCAGCATGCTGGGTGGCCTGGAGTTTGTTTTTAACTGCAGGAAAGGGTGTTGGAGTTCTGAGATAATCATGGAGATGTGCAGTGTTGACCAGCTGTCAGCAGGTGGCCTCCAGCTGTCAGCTCCTTCAGGATGTACAGCAGCTACTGAGAACGGCCCAAGGGCACGCCCATTCTGGAAAGGCCACCCTGGTGCCTGATTGAGGCAGGGGTATAAAGTCCTGGTCATTTCAGCTTACCGTGGGACAACTCTGAACGCCCACACATGCTGCAGAGCTCCTTGAGGGGCTGGCCAATTCTCTGTTGAGCCTGCATTGCAATTCACCTTCTCCCTCTGCCCACCTTTTCTTCCACAGGTACCTACCTAGCACCTGCTTGCCAAACTCTGTCTCAGTGTCAGCTTCTGGAGGACTCAACCTGCAACAGATTCTGTCACGGCAGGGCTGTAAGGATGGAAGGGCCCCTACCTGGGAGCGCCTGGGCTGGTCCTCCCACCTCTCGAGGGTAGCCAGGTGGCCACGCAGCCCTGTGCCCAGGTGATTGAGGAAGACCACGTTGAGCGGGATGCCCACCAGGGCGTAGAAGACACAGAAGACCTGGCCTGCTTCGGTGCTGGGTGCCAGGTTCCCATACCCTGCAGGGGAGGAGTGTACAAAGGTCGGGAAGAGAGAGCTCAGAACTGCCTCCCCCTCGGACTCTAGCAGAGGTTGGTCTTCTACCACCTCTGGGAGCAGGAGGGGAAGCTTCTTGGACACTGTTCCCATTCTCTGCTAGAAGGATCCTTATTCATGAGAATTCTGCTGCCTTTGAAGGCCCATTTCCAATGACACTGCCTCCAGGAGGCCCCCCTGACTGCCACCCTCCTCCTCCTTACTAGGTGTGATTCTCCGTAGTGTCCTGTGTCATTCCTATCTATGATCTACTTTGCCTTATACTATTGTTTTTGGTGTGTTTATCTTATTCCTCTTCATCGGATTGGAAGCTACTTGAGGGCCAAGTCTGGTTCTGATCCAAGTTTGTATATACCCCCCTACCCCAACTCCATTCTCTGCCTCACAAGTCACTTGAGCTCAAGGAAGTGTTGGCCTTAATTGAATGGATAGGCGAGACCGGGGTGAATGGGGGTCTGGGCATTTCCTTGTGGGAGGTGGAGTAGTTTTCTGGCTGACAATGTCAGTGTCCTCTGTCCCCTTGTAGCACCTGCAGCTTTGTGGACAGTTCCTGTACACACAGATGACTTCCCACCCCAAGACCCCCACATCTCCCTCTACCTGAGAGATTTTTTCTGGCTGCAGGAATGTACTTAGCCTGTGGGTAGGTCCAAAATGCTAGAGAGTTAATACACCCAGGATTAGCTTTCCATCACCGAGGGCAGGAGTTGGTAGACAAGTACCCCTGCTTTCTCGTCCCTTGCAGGGACTGTTCTGAGGATGGGCTGTACCTAGCCCTCAGTGGGTCCCCACTTGGAGCGAGTCCAGTTGCCCTCCCCACTAACCTGCTCATTGATGCAAACTTTATTGCCTTTTCTCCCTTTCTGGTTTCACTTTCCCATTTCTCTACTTGTTCTTTCTGAAATCGTCTCCTAGATAAAACCATCCTTGTCTCAGAATCTGCTTTTGGGGAACTGAAACCAAGACAGGGGCTATAGGGAAGCCAAGCCCTTCACCCGACGCTTTACCTATGGTGGTGACAACTGTGCCTGCAAAGAAGAAACTGCTGCCGAAGTCCCAGTTGCTGGGGTTGGTGGAGTTGCCTTTGGGGTTCACGCCCTTCACCCAGGCTTCCATGATGACCTGTGGGGTGGGAGGAAGAGGGAATGATGGCACTAGCTATTGGCTAAGCGCTCAACAGGGTGCATTTGTGTCATCTCACTTGATATTCTTAGACAGTCTCATTTCCTTTTTGTGGAAAAGGAAACTAAGGCTCAGTGTGGCTACATGACTTGACCAAGGTCATTGGATTTCAAATTTACTGTCTGTTCCACTGGCCAGGGATGACTGAAGTGTGGGCTGTAAGCATGGGCTAGTGGAAGGGAACGGGCCTAAGGAGGCAGAAGATGCTTAAGGAGTGGTCCCGGAGGGAGATGCTGTTATGGCCAAGAGGGTGAGATGCACACGGGTTGTCAGGACAATGGGAAGATTTCAGGTTGGATGTTCCTGAAAGGGTTTACTTGGGAAAATGGGGCTCGGGGACCATAGGAAAGCCATGGGGCTGCCCTCCCACAGGGCTAATGAGGGGGACAGAACCCTGTGTTTTCTGAGCTTCCAGGTGAGCGGGCAGCCTTGCACCTTGCTGCCCCCTAGTGAGTCCCAGCTGAGGCCTACAGGAGAAATTCCATGAGGACAGGGCAAAGGTCTCCTGTGTGTGGTGTGTGTGTGTGTGTGTGTGTGTGCGTGTGTGTGTGTGTGTGTG